GGTCATCAGATCAAATCCCGGCCCGAGGTCATTCTGGGTGGAGTTTGCATGTTCTCTCCGTGCATTTTCTCCGGGTACTCCGGTTTCCTCCCACAGACCAAAAACATGCATGTTAGGCTGATTGGTAACTCTAAATTGTAGGTGTGAGTGAGAGAGTGAATGATTGGTTGTCTTGTTTGTCTCTATGTGTCCCTGTGATGAACTGGAGACCTGTCCAGGGTGTCCCCTGCCTCTCACGGAGCAATGGCTAGATATGGACACCAGTGAACCCCGTGACCCAAAAAGGAGGCAGCGGGAAAAGATAATAGATGGATGGACAACTCAGTAGCTTCTTCAGCAAGTTCTTTAGGCCTGCTCAGCTTTCACTCCGAATTTTCACAGAAAATCTATCTCTTATTAGCTTTTATCTTTATTTGTCTAAAATGTAAAGGTGAAAAAGCCTAAAAATAACAGCTGCGTTTATGTACGAACTTGAATTCAAAAGTTAAACCTGTTAAATCTGTCACAGTTTACCAGCTGAACCATTTCTGCACTGAATGTTGCAAAGATACGTTACAGTTTAAGCAAGTAAAGATAAAATGTCTAATAGAAGTTTCTACATACTGTATTTTTCAGACTATAAGGTGCACTTAAAACCTTTTAATTTTCTCAAAAATCATCAGTGAGCCTTATAATCCGGTGCACCTTATGTATTAATTTTGGTTGTACTTACTAACTTCAAACTAATTTTATGTGGTTATTGTGAATGAGTTGAATAAAGTTTAACTTATCTGACTGTTTTGTTTTGCTTAATGCACCTTATAATCTGGTGCACGTTATAGTCCAAAAAATGCAATATAAATTATTTTATTTCTCAATGAATAATTCGACACATTACAAAGAATTTTTAAATTAAATGATATTTGTTATATTCATCACACATGCACCAGTATCAAACCCAAGTATAAGAAAAATATGTTTTTGTGGATAATAAGGTTTGCTATACAATGTAAGGATATTCTTCATTGTTGTGAAAATTATCTGCACTGATATCAGTTTAACACATTTTACAGTGTTTTTTTAATTCATCCACAAAGGTGGGCCAAAAATGAAAAGTGGCGAAATAAAAACTAAAGTTTGTTGTTGGTAAATTAAAGGCTTTTAATAAAACTTTTGCATGATTTGCTAAAAAAATTAATCTCTTAGTTCAGTGTTGTTTTAAGAAAACAACAAATCCCACTGGGCTCAGACCAGCTGTTAGCTCGTCATTCCAGTCAGAATTAACTCTTCTCCCAACAAAGGCTATTCAAACACAATCTACAACAGGTAAGATATTAATTGTCCTGATGCATGCTCAATAATCCAGGTAGCTAAATCTAACAAGGTTGAGTCAGGTCCTCTGGACAGATTCTTCTTTGTTTAATTCTTTCTTCTTTATCCAAAAGACTTCTGACCTGACTCAACCTTGTTAGATAAGATTTTAATTGTTCCTTTTTGCACAGAACCCCTCTTCAAAGCGTCTCAGTAAGCCTTTTGTAAATGGTTTTCCTGTCCAACCCGTTGAGCGGCATGTGCCCTTTTTGTTAGCTTTTGATTCCAAACTGCAAGGAATCATTTGTGATTTGATTCAGATGGACTGATAAGTAAACCTTTGAGGAGAGCCAGGTTACACTCTTATATCAAGTTTGCAGCAAATATTTTGCTATTTATAGCCATAAATTTATGATGCACAGTGGAAAAAATGGTGTTGATTTTCAAATAAAACTTGTGGCCAACATATTTTTATTGTCCTATTGTTTAAAACAACTAAACTAAACATTTATTTATGGCATATTTTAGGTGTGGTACGAATCTCCAGTATTTAGCTGATATTGCATGGATCAAATGTAGTTATGAAACAACCTACCTCCCCCTCACCAGCTGTCTTTACTGCTCACTTGGCTTGCACACCTCATCTTTTAATCCCAAACCATGCTGGTAAGAAATAATCATTTAAAAAGGTAAACAAGCGATGACGCTTAGGAATCATTCAGAGGTGATGCCTACACTGAAATGGCCTGATGTTATGTTTTAATCTGCTTGAAATGATCGTTTCAGAACAAACTGTGAAAGCATAGTAAAATGCTGTGGATTTGTTTGGGACAATAACTGTTAAATGTGCCTGAAAAAGAGGATGAGTTTTTTTTCCCCACTGTGCAGCATCTGATCAATCTTCTGACATTGCATTTCTAATAACAAGTGTTTGCAACAAATATTGTCACAAAGTCAGCTTTCAAGTAAATTTACTGGCAATGTCATCAAAACAACTTCAAACTGGAGTTAGTCAGTGAACTTTCCACATATACTCTTACATCACTAAAGCAGGTCTAGTGGATGGCCTGAGGTAAATACAGCTGCTGAGGAGGGACAGCAGAATGCATAAACAGGATGCAGCCGTGTGGTGGAGTGTGTGAATATACGTTAAAGGGTTGCCATGGCTTCAGTAGAGAAAATACATGATTCCAGCTTCTATTTGCAAATAGTTCTGCAAGTAATACATACTTTTTTTTTTTGTTTTTAAATGAACTTTTGATTCAGAGTACCGTATTTTCCAGCATATAAGTCGCTGTTTTTTTGGCATAGATTTGTCAATCCTGCAATTTATACGCCAAAGCGACTTATATATGTTGTTTTCTTTCCATATACATGATGCAATTTTGACTGACGCTTTAAATTTCTACGAACTGCAACACCAAGTCCTCCCATGCACGCTTGCTTCACTCAGCTGGTGCAGGTGGAGAAACACTGGAGAGCTAGTTGCTCCAGCCGCGATGGATGGATGGATGGATGGATGGATGGATGGATGGATGGATGGATGGCGACACGCCACCCAGGCGAAATGAAACTGTTTTGACCATTAAATAAACGCGGTGACGCATAACATAATAAATGTGACTTGTACTCCGGAGCGACTTATACGCTGGAAAATACAATAATATATAAACTGCCATACATGCTAGATACGGCATATAATCCAAGTTTTGTCTGACACTATCAGGTCACTTCTTTTTGCACATCCCTTTTCCCTCAGACTCTTCTGATTTCAGCATGCTGAAACCTGTGGCCAAAGAGTTTCTGACACACTGACGTTGTTGGGATTTCACATCCCTATGACTCAGTGGAGCTGCAGTCATTTCCAAGCAACATTAGGAATCAGACGAACTGCTTCGTTTGACACCATAAACTCTATTCTGCTGTTTTTCAAGCCAGTAAATTACTTTAATCTCCTTAACATTTACCATCTTTGACAAGATGAATGGCCAAAATGAGGCTGCAGAACGTCACACAATGGCTCTTGTTGCATAAATGTTTCAGGTTGTTAGTTTGTTTCAACAGCTTGTTAATCACAACCTCAAGTCTGGTAAGTGGGTGGCATCTGATCAAGGAGAAGCACTTAAAAAAAGAACATCATTATTATCTGCAATGACACATCAGTGTAGAAAAAACACAACTCGCATGTGAGAAGGTACTGCAACCCCTGCTGAGTACACATGCATGGCTGCCAACAACAACACATGGTGGTGCAGAAATATATATATAATAAAAACATGCCTGACCACTGTGTTTTGACTCCAGGTTGAGCAAGACCACCGTGGTGTTTGGGTCGACTTGACATTCCAAGAGCTTCAAGTGTTCCTCGTCAAATCCTCACAGGTGATCTTTAGGGAGGCAGACTTTATTTTGCTCTGTGAATATGGTGTTTTTATTACACAGAATGAAAAATCATGTGTGGGACAAAGCCTTAATGCATTTACCTAAAGAAGAAAGAAAGGGGAAATACATCTGAAACTAAAGTTTGTTTAGTTTGCATGAAAAAAAAACCTTTAACTTCTTGCAATGAAAACAAAAATCTAGAATCAAATATAATAAATCAGCATTAAGAGCCTAAAGATGGAAAAATGCTCCTCACTGACACTAAAACTTAAAATAAAGAAAATACTATAATTTAAAAACTGGAGAAGTTACACTTTTTGCTAAAAATGGAAATAATGGAATAGCAATTTGAAACAGAGACAAAGGAAACAAAACAGCTAAAAGCAAAAAGCTAGCTAAAACTAAGAAAATTAAAAAGTATCCAACAATGTCTAAAAGTCTAGAAATGTCAAAAAGCTATTTACAAACTAAAAGCAACAAATGGCTAATTAAAAAGCAAAAGTATTTAAAAAAAATGATTACAAAAATCTAAAATAAACAAAATGATAAAGTAAAAACAGTTTTCGAGAAGTAGAAAAGGCTTACTAAAAATACAATAAAAGTATCAAAAGCTAGATAAATATAGCAGAACAGTAGCTAAAAGCTAAAAGAAGACAAAAGTAGAGCAAATTTGCTTGAGCAGATTTCAAATAGAGCAATGTTGCTGCTGATTATCCATGCTGCTGATCTCTTAAGCTGCTGTATACCCATCTGATCACTACATGTTTGGGCTGCTGTTTAATATACCATAATATTTTATATTATTAGTGTTAAGCATGTATCCTATATTCTTGTATACTGTTTCTTTTATACTTTATATTTTTGCTATTTTTGGGTGTAACTGCGACCTTGAGTACACAATTTTGTTCCACCTCATGTACCACATGTCATGCAAATGACAATAAAGAACCTTGAACCTTGATGTTGTTGAGGCAGTTGTACAGATGTCCATTTTTGCCATTGAGTAAATAAAGTAAATTAAGTTAAATATTTTAAATAGTATAAAATTGATAAAAAAAATAAGCCACATCATTCAAACCATTACAAAACAGTACAATCATTAAAACAAACAAAAAAACAACAGACATCATAATCATATAAAAAAATACTTGTATTGTGTTTGTTGTTTTGAAAATCACAATTACAGAATTTTATCAGAAATACAGACATAATTTAATCTGATTATATGTTATAACGAGCTGCCATACTTGGTTCGCACATGATGACGTTACACTGCAGCGCCTGAGCAGAAGTTCTCGCGAGATTACGGAAAACAATCCAGACGTCCTCTTTTACACGATTCCCTCTTCCTCCTCCTCCACAGCCCTCCCTTCTTCCCACGCCCCAGTGCGCTGTGGGATAGTGCCACTATAAAGTATACCCTCTCTCGGTGAAAGATAAGAAGCCCGAGACAGGAGGGGGATGAAGATGGCGGACGCCAAGCAGAAGAGGAATGAACAGTTAAAGCGGTGGCTGGGCTCAGAAACGGACCAGGAGCCTCCTGTATTCAAAAAGAAGAAGACGAAGGTGAAGTTCGATGATGGCGCCGTGTTTTTGGCCGCCTGCTCGAGCGGCGATACGGAGGAGGTGCTCCGTCTACTTGACCGGGGCGCCGACATCAACTACGCCAACGTAGACGGTCTCACCGCTCTCCACCAGGTTTGTATTTGATTACTTTACTGCGTAATTTATACAACTGGACAGAAATATAATTTCACTGCCTGAAACTACTTGTCCTGGAACACCTGTCAAATGGAAGCCATTCTCATCCTGTTGTTTACCTACCGAGCACTCGTCGTCTTTGACGCAAATAATGGATCGTCTTCATGGTGGAGTTAAATTTTTTAATGTACAACCTGTGTACGTCTTGCAAGAACTTCGCTTTTTGTTCTGATTTCCCCTCTTCTCCTGATAAACTAGTCTTGTATCTTCCAAGTCTTTTGGGTGCAGTCTAATTGCTGTTGTGCTGCAGTTCATATTCCAAGTCTTAGTCATTTTATGCTGCACACTTCTTTAAATTGTAACATTTTCTTGTGTGTTTTCCCTCCTCCTGTTTTCTTGCTCAGTACAAATCACAAAGACAGTGCTCGAAACGAGCCATGTTGGAAGTAATAGAAACTATTCCAGACCGATTGATTCCAGCAGTGTTGAGCAGGAAAAAAGCACCTCTTGGATTTGAAGGCAGCTTTTAAAGTTAATTAATAAAGTTAAAGTGCCATGTGGTTGTTACAACTCTTAAAACAGACTTATTAACTAAAGATATATATACAAGGATTCTTATGCAAGGCGTTTTTTCTTGGTGTAACACCGGCTACTACCTGGCTAGCAAAAAGTCCTGTTGATAGACCCTCAACTGCGACTGTGGCTACTCTCTGGAATGGCTATCGACTATTGGCTGTGAGTTTTAGAAAACTATATTTTTTATAACAACCGCAAGGCTTTAGTGGGACATATTTGTTCAACGTTCTCACTAACATTGTTGTTTATTAGACTAAAAATGACCACTATAATATGAAATACCGTCAGCAGTGAGCTAGCGCTAAATTAGCACGCTAAGATAATTGTCGCTGGCTATTTGGGAGTTTAATTCATTTGTTTACTGAGCCGACAGTCGACGTGTTCGGATCTTAATAGTCTCAAGATTTTGCATTTGTTGTGTGTACACTAAACTCAAGTGCGTATGTGGTTATTATTTTTGCATTTTGTTTTATTTTTTGGTCGGGTTGTCATCTCTGCCAAGCTAGCCTGCTAATCGCTAGCTGCGTTCGCTAGCATCTCTGTTAGCTGTGTTAACCAGCCCATTGCGGCAATATGAAGCCACCGGATCTTTAAAAAAAAAAAACACACAAAAACAAGCTCGAATCAGCGTCTTGACTTTACAAATCAAGAAGTTCACAGCTTAACACGAGCCTTTTGTGATGGTGTTCATTCACTAGTAATACTAAAGCTAAAAGTAACGCCAGTCCTGCAATGAACGTTAGCCTTTGTTGAACCTAAATGTAGAGTTTTGAGCAGAATGATGCGTTTAAAGACATCCGTTTAATAAATCTGAATATATGCATTTTTAAGTAACATTCCTAAACAGCCAGCTGTAATGAAAGCAGTACATCTATATCCATATGCATCATTCACTGCCTGCTTTCTATGTGGTATGATGAGGACCATATGATAGATTCTTTGCTAGACAAAACTAATAAACAGTTGGCGAAACAGGAAGTGTATAGAAAGCAAGTAAATGCACCCATTAAAAAGTTAATTAACATTTGTCAGCAACTTAGAGAGGATTTTGTAGTCACCTTTTTTAAGCAGACTTGATCACGTTTCTTCCACATCCCCACATGAGAGTAACTTGAGGAGGTTCTTAATCAAATGTATGAGACTATTTGAAACCAAATAAGGCAAAGCATCTTATTTACAAGCTTTGTTGAATACTATCATTCCAGTTATAAGAACAGTATGAATTAATTATCGCTTATACCTTTAGTCTTTTCTGATCAAAAGATTGACCAGATATGAAGTTGGAAATTTTAATATTTCCTATAACAGGCTGAATTTTTTTACTTTGAACATGTTCTCCTCAGTATATTGCATCCGCTGATGTTTTAGCGTGTCGGCTTATTTTGCAAACTGTTGTATTGTGCATGAACATGTTTTTTTTTTATGGTTCCTGGCTGGTTTTATGCACTCGCATTTTAAGTGCCCCGTCGTGTAATTATTACTAATCACAGTAACCGTCGCAACAATTATGATGAGCATATGCAGTCCATTTAAAACTCCGGTAAGGATTGTTTCTCATTCTGCTTGCTTTGATAGCGAACAAATTATTTAAGGATTAACAGAAGAATTCCTGTCAAATGTTTTAATATTGGCAGAGGTCAACAGTGCACACATCCACATGCCTAGTTGCAGTAAGAAAGTGTGAGGGCTGCTAAGAGCACTACTGTTTTACAAAGTCCTTTTTTTATTACTTAAAATATTTTTTACTAGCTGAAAGTTTTAAAAAGCAAATTTTCTACTATGTATGACTGCGTAATGAAGTTTAATAAACCCTTTTCATGCTCACAATCCGCTCTAATTAAATCTGGAATTAGCAAGGCCCCTGTGCAAACTCATCAGGCTGCAGGTTTTGGAGTTATGTAGAAGGATGAGCACCAGTGTGGAAAGATTTTGCAATGCTGTTATTACGATCTAATCATCTCTAAAGACAAGAAGCTCCTGGGACTATTTGTGTGTGACAGATCAATATGAGATCCCTGGATTTTAGGGCTTTATAGAAGTTTATCGAGGGTGATGTAGGGATTTGTGTTTCTCCAAAGGATGGAAGAAGAGAAACAGTAGGAAACTAGTTATTTTCATATGTCTGTCATACATTTTATTGATTTATGACAAATATTTGTATGTGAATATAATGTACAGTACTGTTAGATGACTTTAGTTGTTTAATGCTACATAAATAAACTGAATAGGACAGTTTACCTTTTAAAATGACTGACTGACCCCTGCCTTTTGTTTTTAAGGGTATCATGTTATGATTGCTCACTTCTCATTTTTTAATATTGCTGCCATTCTTGATGACCAGTGTGGAGTTAAAAATACCACAAGTTCTCCCAACTGGGTTTCAGGAGCTACTAAATTTGGATATGACTCACAGTCTGGATCCCTGCTTTGCACTGCTGACCTGGTATCATTTAGGCAAGAGGTTGCGCCTGCATGCGAGTCACAGGCCTTCTGCATCTGGAGGACCTGTAAGCGTGACCATAAATGTTATTTCAGTTAAGTAATATGATGCTGATAGATTTACCCAACCATAAACTGCACAGATGTAGGTGGGTAGAAGATAGATGAATGAGACGTTAAACTGATTAGTAGATTGGCTGGTAGATTCCTGATTGCCATTTCATAAGCTAAACCGTTCTCAGAGCGTAGTCCCATCATCCTACCCGGGCATTCCTCACATGACGGTCGCTGGACACCATAGCAAAGAAAGGGGATAGACATTCCTCAGCTGTCACTTAACCCCCTTCTCTAGTCACTATATATTTCTGTCCTGCCTTTCCTTTTACTATGCTAAGGGTCAGTGCAATGTCGCCCACTGAGTTTCACCAGTAAAACAAGGCAACTAAGACTTGTTGCTGTAGAAAATACCCTCAGCGATCTACAGCTGAACTTGTCTACTGAGCACATACCCTTTGCTGGGGTGATGAGGCTCAGTTCAGCTTAGTACGTTAGCATGCTTAGTATGTCTCAGTTCCTATGCTCTTTTTTTATTTTTATCTTTTTATATGATAAAACTCTAGATCTCAAGATCCATGAACACTATCTTGCTCTGTCTCCTTGACAACGGTTTGGAAGGTTACCAGTCACTTGCGTTGGTGGATTTGCATGGATGGAGTGGGAGTTGCATAACAGCCTGAGCAGAGAGAGTCTGGCTGTATTTGAAAGGAGAATCAACCTTACAAATGAGTAATGAAACCATTGTTAAGCATGTGATAGACAAAAAAAATATTGACAAGACGACTATTTCTTTCCATCCGACCAGCTTCAGTCATATCATCACATGACATAATTGCTGTAAATCTTACTGCGGCCCCAGTCTTGAGATTCTCAGCGGTGTCTGAGGCACAGCTCAGTTGGCCAGTCAGAGGAGCAAAAATACCTTTTGGGGTGTCCTTGCGCTCCTGTTAAAGGCAGCAGGACATGTCGCGGAGAGGCCCATTTAGGTGAGACAACCAAAACGTGTGCTTAAGATTATGTTGAGGTCCTCCTGTTGTCCTTAACTGTTTTGTTAGCTATAAAGTTGCAGGTTAATTACTTACACTATAGGATCCAGCATACTCCATCTGAAGCTGAACAGTCAACGCGTGGTTGCGGGACATTTGTTTTTGCACACACCTTTCATAGTCCACCAGACACAGGCATAGAGGTCCTGAGAAACCCCTCCTGCTGCATTATACGTCACCATGCAGGTTTCTTCCGGCTTGAGTCTCCACACTGTCCATGCATTTTGGCCACAAATCTATCACGAAGAAAGTAGCACACTTTTCGGCAGACATACTCCTTCATACACAATGTCTGCACAATCTCCATCCAGGAGTATTTGGCTACTTGACTAATTTTAGTGTGTTTGAAGAATCGTACAGCTGAAGGTTCGATTGCATTTCTATATTGCTGAACACGCCCACAATTTTCTGACGCAATCACGCAGTACTTGGTGCATACACCTGTGCGAAAAAGTTCAGCTCTGGCCTTTTGTTGACAAGGGGTGGGCGAAGCTATGCTGAGAAAAAAAAGATGCGGTTTTCGTCTTGCTCAGGGGCCCAGAGTGGGGCGAATGAGGGTGGAGGCAGGTGTGGGTGTTTCACCTTTTCCACCTACATTTTGATGTTGACGGTACTGAGAGTTGAACCTGCAACTTTCCAATCACAGACCCATCTTCTCTAACCTCTGCGCCACCACTCCCCAAATACCGTACGAGATGTTATATGTTGCAACTTATATTTTGTATCAAAAGCAGCCAATAAATAAGCTTTAGGAAAATTAGTCCACATGCAAAACAATGTTTGAATGTTTTTTATTTATTTATTTTTTTTTTTGATAACGTTTAATGATTGCATGCTGTTTGGCAGAAACTTGTATTTATTTTAAACTTAAGTTTAATT